GACTTGTTGGGGGCCTCAGGAAGAGGATGGCAGGCTTGGGTCACACCCACTGGAATCGGGCTCTGGAGATGACTTTGCAACCCTCCCACCTCGAGTCGATGTTGGCGCACCGCGGCGACCCTGAAGGACAGAGCAGAACTGGCCCTGTGGGTCTCAGGGACCAGAGCTCTTGATGGGGCCAAAGAGCCTCCTTTTGAGAGGCGTCACCAGTGCACGGAACTGCACACTGGAAGGTCATGGAATCTTCCCACGAGCGCTTTGAAGCCCTCTAGAGAGTCTCCTACTACGTCCCCCTAAAAACTGTCATCGAGTGATTTCTCATTAATCATTTGATTGGGGGGCTCTGACAGATCCAATAACAACCCATCACTCAATTGTCTCAAGCACATTTGTACATTTGTTGCCAGCAGCATTTCCAAAAGACTTTCTTTCTACGTGAGCCCTTGGTATTCGCTCCTCTTTCCCCTTTCCCGCTCCCACCCTCGTGAACCCTCCAATGATATATTTCGAGTCTCACACCATCGGCTGTAATCCCTCGCCCACGTTTCTGGTATCTGTCCCCCTCATTGAGTCGTTGCTGACTCACAGGAACCCTACAGGACAGGGTAGGACTGCCCTTGTGGGTTTTCCGAGGCTGTCACTCTATACGGGAGTAGAAAGCCTCACTGTCCCCCCTTAGAAAGGCTGGTGGTTTCAAACTAACTTTGTGGCTAGCTGCCCAGCGTGGAAGTCCCTAGGACGCCTCTATTTGCCTCCTAGGTGTTACTTAAAAAAAAAAAAATCGTTTTATTAGGGGCTCATGCAACTCTTATCACAATCCATACACACATCAATTGTGTCAAGCACATTTGTACATTCATTGCCCTCATCATTCTCAAAACATTTGCTCTCCACCTAAGCCCCTGGCATCAGTTCCTCATTGTTTCCCCTCCCTCCCCGCTCCCCCCTCCCTCATGAGCCCCTGATAATTTATAAATTATTATTTCGTCATATCTTGCCCTGTCGGACAGCTCCCTTCACTAGGTGTTACTTGTAATTACACTGTATCTCTTTCCGGATCAGAGATCAGAAGGCTGAAGTCAGCCTGCTCCCAAGCCTCTGCACTCTCCCCAGACGGAGGGGGGGGGCCCTCCCTCGGCTCTTCTAGCCTCTGGCAGCCCTGGGGTTGTTCTTGGCTTGTGGGTGCGTGCCCTCTGATCTCTGTCCCAATGGTCACCCTTCCACTGGGACACTGCATAGTGACCAGGCAAACGGTGGGACCCGGTGGGGTGGCACGCCAATCTATGAGGATCCTTTCAGCAGTTCCTCAGTGCGTTTGTTTGGTGGCTTGCTTTCCCTGATGTGGCTTGTGCCACGATCGCTCGTCTGAAAACAGAAGTTTGGTTTCTGCTCTGAAACGGGAGATGTGGGCCTCCCCCACCACCAAGAAACCATTTCTGAGGACGCGCCTGAGGTCACCAGGACTGTCTTGTGGTTAAAAACAAACAGTAGGATGGGGCTGCTGACAAAGGAGCCCTGGTGGCTGGTCACCACAAGGCCAGAGGTTCAAAGCCACCAGTCGCTCCACGGGAGAAAGACAAAAGACCAGGCTTTCTACTCCCCTAAAAGTTAACAGCTTCAGAAACCCATTGGAGCAGTTCTACCCTGCCCTGTAGGGTCACGATGAGTCAAAATGGACTCGGTGGTAGTGAGGACTCTGTTTGTTTAGTTTCCTGAAAAGGAGCCCTGGTGTGGTGGGTTACACGCTGGGATACTAACCACAAGGTCAGAGGTTTGAACCCCCAGTCACCTCAATGAGGCTTTCTGCTCCATCAAGAGTTACAGCCTCAGCAATCCACTAGGGCCAGTTCTGCCCTGTCCTACCTGGTCTCTGGGAGTCAAGGCTCATGGTGACTTTGTGTGGGGGGAGGTCAGATGCGCAGGCATTCCCTCCCCTGAAGACAATCAGTTTCTGCTGTCTCATCCCACCACAGGGGTGGGCCTCCTCCCTGCTGCTGGGGACAATGGACAGGCTCCTGTAGGCAGAGTTTTCACCCTACTGATAATGGTTCCCATGGAGACCCAGAGACCACCCCCTAGACCACCTCCTTATTGCTGTGTAACCTATAGTGCAGCCCCTCCCTGTGACATATGTGTCTACCTGTAGTTAGTGGGCTGGTATGCCCCCAAAAGGTATATAAGCGTGGGTCAGCAATATAGAGCTCTCTGACTCTCTGACTCTGAGCTCTCCTTGCTGGGCACTGCCTGGGAACTCCCCTCTCTCCCCCTCTCCTCTCCAGTCCCCTCTCCCTTGTTCCCTTGCCCTCTTTCCCTTCCCCCTCTCTCCACGTGGACCACCAAGCTGGGCTGAGGTGAGCAATG